TTTTGGAGAATCTTAATTAAAGTGATGATATGAGACCAGGAAGATTCTGGCTAAAGTTCTCACTTGATATGGGATTCAGCAGGTGACTTAAATTCAATTATTATCTCGGTCCCATACACCATCTTGAACTCTTTGAGAAATAGGTGATATACATACTCAGCTTAATAAATTGTGACAAAAAGTTGTTCTTTGGATGTTTTCAAAATGTTTAATTCCTATATGTAGCAGATTCCACCAAAGACTTTCATAAGACTCTCCTATAGCACACTTTGTGGACATTTTATAGTTTCTGCTTGTGGCACAATTATTTCTTGAATATTGCCTCTTTTAATTAACTTTAACTACCTTTAGTTTGGAGGCATGCACGTGTTTTTTTATGCTTTTAAAAACGCTTACTGTGAGTTTACAACTAATCTTAAAAACTGATTCTTGACATGTTCCTTTAATTTTTTTAAATAAACTCCTGTGGATTCAGCGAAACTTTTGAAAAAGCAAACAAAGTCAGGTTATAATTTGTTGAAGAATTCGGAATCTATAAAAATTCAAATTCTTTCCGTAAATCACTTACGGAACTGTAGACCCATTAGTTTTACTGTAGACTAAGAAGTACGTTATTCCCCTAAAATCCCAGTCAGTTATTTGAGACTATGCTACTAGCAAAAGAATATGTTATATTTTTTTTTGTACATTGCCTTTAGCAGTATGGAAAGGTTTGTTTTGTTTTGTTTCTCATCTGTTTGTATTTAATCTTTGCTTAGCACATCATTTGAGTTGCAAAGTGCTAATAGTTCTTTTTAAAATAGAGTGTGAGTTCCTCTAGATTTATCTATGGAATAACTTTTTTGTCTTTTGTCTTTTTTTCTCTGTTCAAAATACTTAATCACAATGTATCAATTATACCAATAGGTTTGTATTCTGAGGACCCCATTTATATTGTTTAATTATAATAAATACAAAAGAGCCATTTGATTAACATATAGATATGCACACCATTAAATGATTTTTATAATTTGATTGATAGCTGCAGCCTGCTGCTTAATCTGGATGAAAGAATGGATTCTTCTGAGGAGCAAGAGGATTTTAGATTTAGAAGGACATGGTCTAAGATTCATAGTTTTCTATGGTACAATAAAGTTAAGGTTAATGTAGACTTTAATAGTCATTACGTATATTAGAAGTGGCATATTGACAATATGGAACAGATATAAACCTAGCCTGAGATCAAAAATATCTTCATGGGTTTTAGCAATAGAAGATTTTAGAGTAAAAAACAGTACATAAGAAAAATGGTTAGCTTATCAAGAGTTGTTAGAACAGGAACATGGAAAGTATAAGATGAAATCAAAAAGAGGAATTGGCTGCAGACGGATTTAGTTTTCAGTGGTTTTCATATGCACAGAAAAATATTTTAAGGACATTTGAAATTGAGCAGCAGGAGACAAAATTTGAAGTTGAACTGTGTACAAATGATGAACATATAATTGTATATTATTAAAATTTGAAATGGAAGAATAAGTGAAAGAATATATGATAATGATAAAATGGGCTGAGAACTTTAGACAAAATATACTGATGAAATAGTGGGAAAATATGTGATTAGATTAAAATTTATATTATGAGCTAAAAGAAAATTTTCATAAAATGATGTACCGTTGGTATAAGAATCCAGAAAAGTTGTCTAGAATGTATGAAGGTTTTTCAAATTTATGTTGGAGAAGTGGATAGCATTTTATCATGCCTGCTGGACTTGTAAAATCAAAACCCCAGAAATTTTGGGTTGAAATACATTTTAAAAAACAACATTCAATTGAAACCTTAATTTTTCTTGCTGGGATTAATGGACAGCCAATTAGTAAAGAGCCAATAAAGATTATCTTTATATATGTTTAGTGATGCAAGTCTTAACAGAGAAATGGTTGGTGAAGATGAAAGAATTAGCAATTACAAATTTAACCTGTTTGATTCGAAAAAAATCAACAATTACCTTGATTAGTGACTGGAAACCCCTTATGGACTTTTTGTTGAAAAAGGAGAAAAATGAACTTATGATTTACAGGTTTGAATATTAGAAAGGGTATCTTATGGAAAGAAGGAAATTGTGGTGAAGGAAGGAAATTAGAACAAGAGGGCACAATAAAAATGCATCTGTAACCCCTGACAAGAAGACTTTTCCTTTTTCCAGCTTCGCTGCTCCTCTAAACTGTTTTTTTAGAAATTGATAGCAGATCTAAGAATGTTAAAAGAGTTTGGCAGGCTGATCTGTGAGTAATATCTGTGCTCCTGAATTTTTAGCATCGACGAATGCATTACTACCAAACTAATGATTATTATTAATAGCCTTAGTATTTTAATAATGAAACTGATTTCGGTTATACTATGTAAAAATAGTGGGGGGAAATTGGGGTGAGACTGAGTGAAATAAAAGATCTTGGATCTTTCTTGGGAATTAAGAACTTTTTTGAAGTTCATGCAAACTGCCCTACTGTGGCAGACTACAAAATACTTAGAACAACCAGGGTCACTCATATGCAGAGATAACTTGCTAATTATTATTTTAATGGTTGCTGAACCAGTTGATATTTGTACCTGCCACATTATATTTTCTCCTTATTAACACAGCAGAAGCACTACTGCTTCAGCTATTGTAAAGATCTTCTTTGACTAAGCTTGCACTTTTGCTTGAACATAGATGGGCTTTGTGAATATTTATAAAATTACTTTCTGAGAAGCTAAAGTATTTTCCAGATTCTGAACTAATTATCCAATCTTCTTTTTTAAAGCTTGTACATTGTAAGTATTTTACAGAACCTAGCCCTGCTTGAAAATATAAAGGTAAATGTCAATATTTTGCATTATTGCCTGACTTTTAATGATTTCTTTTTAAATTTCTTGCTAATCTTATTCTAAACAAAAGTTCTGATTAAGATTTTTATGTCTAAAATCTCAAAAAAAATCTTTTTAAATGTTGCTATGTTAACATAACACCCCCTTCTTCCACCCTGTTAGAAATACAAATAGCATTTATTGACACACTTAATCTTTTTTTCCTTTTTAGTACAGAGTGATGAATCTCAAATGACTTACAGTAAACAAAACTGATGTAGATCTACTTCAGGGTGTGCCTATATTGTCTTTAAATTTTGTTGCACAAACTTTTTTTAATTAGCATATATGTTGACATCAAGAAACTCATTCGACATGTTCTGAATTGCTGTGATGGCCCCAGTGCTTCAACTGAATCTGAGAAATCTGGTGCCTCTCTGAGCTGTAACATATTTAAATGGTTTAGAACTAATTTCCTCTTGCGGCACAACAAGCACCTAGCTCTGTTTGTCTCCAACTTTTGTAGCACATTCAGAATGGTGAGGATGGATAGGGATACAGTATGTGGGCTGCATAAATAGAAATAATTATTAGATGGCAGTTACAAAATAAAACTCAAACCTGCTGCTGCCATCTTCTGGCTGGCTGTATTTTTGCATGCTGAAGTATCATACCTCAAAATTTAGTTACATTGCCTGTTGGAATTTTCCTTTCTTGTGATTTTAGCAAATATTTTGCATAGAATCTGCAACCATAGCAACCACTCTGACTGATTGATGAGTATCCTAAGATTAAGAGTACTGATTATCTATTAAATCTACTACTAAAAGTATAAATTATCTGAGGAATTCTAACAAAAAAGAACTTTGAATTTGACACAGATTATTGGCTTTAGAAAAGTATAACTGCAGGGAACAAGAGGATCTATGGTTTGTCAGAGAGCCCCAACAATAATGACTGGCCTTTGTCTTGAAGGATTTCAGAATGGATGCCAGATCTAAAGATAAACAACAAAGTCTGAATCATTCTCTCCTAAGAGGTTTAGGCTTTTGTCTACTCTGTGCAAGAGAAAGAGAATCTGTTTTCAGAACTTTTACTCAATTGAAACTATGGCCACAATCCAACACGAGATTAAATGCTCTTAAACCCCTTAAAGTCAATGAATCTAAACAGATTTAACTGGGTGTTGGATTTGTCCCATGTTTTATTGTACTGATAGTTTTCTGGGGAAACTGACAATTCTATAACTAATATCAGGTCAGGACTTGCATAATAGCATTTATTCCAGTAGCAAAAGTAGCATTTTACAACTTAGTATCAAGAAGCTTTTAAGAAATTGAAGTAAGTGCAGTTTAGAAGAAATTATTCTTCCGCAGTCTATTCAGGTACCTGTGTCTAATTTAGCAATATCTTTGTGCTGGCCTTTCTGCCTCTTTTTGTGAACTTGTGGCTCAGTGGTGAAATCCAATTTTTTTTACTACGGGTTCTGTGGGCGTGGCTTGGTGGGTGTGGTGTGGCTTGGTGGACATGGCAGGGGAAGGCTATTGCAAAATCTCCATTCCCACCCCACTCTGGGACCAGCCAGAGGTGGCATTTTTCCAGTTCTCCAAACTACTCAAAATTTACGCTACCAGTTCTCCAGAACCTGTCAGAACCAGCTGGATTTTACTCCTGATGTGGCTCATGGCAATCTGGATGCAAGTACAGAGTATATTTCAGCCACTTTTCCTTTTTACATGGTTTTTACTGTAGAACTTCCAACTTAGTCCATAGAGATTCTTGTCAGTCTCTGTTCTCCCTACTAATAAACTAAGAACACTGCTTGATATAAGTTATATTCTAGTACTTCAGGAATTAACAGTAACCCTAGTATTATTTCGTTTGTTTGTTTATATACTACCCATCTCACTGATAAAGTGACTCTGGGCGGTGTATTATTTCTTAGCATCCCCACTTTATTAAGCAGGCTTGCTGTTTGAATGACCCTTTCTGCAGTGGGAAAGAAAAAACAGCATCTGGTATCCACATGGCTGGGCCTCTCGTAAGACAGTGAAATGTCTTAGCTTTACATTTTCCATGGCATTTCTGTATCAGCATATCTCTCCACTCATCTTGGAATGGATGTTTTTCTATGTTGTCTTTGCTCACAGTAACATTCTTGGTTTGATCTCTCCTAGGTGCATAGCGTAATGTCCATGCTGTGCTACACTCTGATTATAGCATTTCTGATTGGCATATGGGCAGCACCAAAATCTGAAGATAATGTCCCTCTGGGCTCCCCTGCAACATCTGACCTTTCTGATACCAGCTGTGTTAAAACTCACGAGGGTCTGAAAACATCTCAAAACACAGATCAGCGCCATCCTGCTCCTAAGAAGGCAGAGGATCAAGAAATTGGATCAGCAGCAAACATCATTGTGGATCCCAAGCTTTTTCAGAAGAGGCGGTTCCAGTCACCTCGTGTTCTGTTCAGCACTCAGCCCCCACCATTGTCAAGAGATGAGAAAAGTGTGGAGTTCCTGGACAATGCAGACTCTCTTAATAGGAATATCCGGAGCAAACGTGAAGCTCATCCTGTGCATAACCGAGGGGAATATTCTGTGTGTGACAGTATCAGTGTCTGGGTTGCCAACAAAACCACAGCAACGGACATCAAAGGCAAACCGGTGACTGTGATGGTGGATGTAAATCTTAATGGTAATGTCTACAAGCAGTACTTTTTTGAGACCAAGTGCAGAAATCCAAAACCAGTTCCAAGTGGGTGCAGGGGCATTGATTCCAGGCACTGGAATTCTTATTGTACCACAACACACACATTTGTCAAAGCATTAACCATGGAAAGCAATCGGGCATCCTGGCGCTTCATTCGGATTGACACTGCCTGTGTGTGTGTAATCAGTAGAAAAACTGAGAACTTCTGATTGACCATTGATTGCTCCAATACTCACTTTCTCCCCACCCCCTACCTCAGCCTGTAAATTATTTTAAATTATGAGGGCTCTATGATATATTTATAGTTTATACAATGAAATCAATGAATCATCATAATTTATTAAATCCTTTTGAAAACTGAATACATGATGTGAGCATTAATGACATTTTTTTCCTGTTAAACAAATATTTTAGCTTTTATTTAATATGCTTGTCATAGAAAAGTTTCTGAAAAGAATGTATGGCTGTTTTCAGTGTCCTGCACCTGATCTTTTTATTTAATGTGCAGTTGCTCTGTTACTCTGCACTAGATCAAACTTCATTACATACAAGTCCATTAGGAAAAATCTCCCTCTCCTGGGTCAGAATCATTCATTCATATTACACATCTGAGGAGATGCATAACTGTCATTGTTGTCAGATACGCTGATTTCCTTTTGTTTATACATTCTAAATATTAGATTTGCAACTGACTTCTTGTTAAACTTGTCTTCAGAGCAGTCCCATACACATACGTATTATTTTTACAAATAAATAAAGCAGTGAACATATTGAACATACCTTTTCCCCACAGAAACAGCCCTGTGGATTGGGCTGAGAGAGAGTGAGTGGCCCAAGGTCATCTACCTGGTTTTCATGGGACTTGAACTCATGGTTTCTACCTTGTAGCCTGATGCCTTTTTTTTCCAAATTGTATACACATTTCTTTTTCCTTTTATAGGAAACATTTAAGCAAACATTTTGCTTCCTATTTTATAACATGTGGTTAAAAGCAACTACTTTTTAGTCAGCTGCTGGCAAAACTAAAGCCAGCCTGAGGCCAGCTAGATTTACATCTAACTCCATCCCATTTAAATAAATAGAACAAATGTGTCCTGATTGTTGATTCCTCAAGATATAAAATCCAATTTCACACTCTCGTGTTTCAAAATAGGTTCCACTATTTTCAATACATTTTGCTCTTAAGTAAGTATGCGTAAGATTATCGTCTCATATGGCAACCCAGGATGTATTGACTTCAGATTTATTCATGCTCTGTTCTATTTAGCAGATTTTCTCCATGGTAAGTAATTGCAAGATTGCAGTTTTAGTTGTAACTGATTTGATTAGGTTTGGGATCAGTGCAAAACTCCATGGATTAGTCTAAACTTTGATGATTTTATACCTTTGTGATAGAATTTTAATCTAATCAAAACTGAATAGACACAAAATAAATAGTAGAAGGTTCCTGAGAAAACAGTCCTTCTGATAGAATAAAAAAGTATATTTTGGTTGATTTTTAGGAATAAAGACCATCCTGGTCCTTTGAACTCAGTGGAAGTTATAGATGAAAATGTTGCAAATGATATTCCTCCCCACTCCTGCCCAGAACTGCCACCATTTTCTCAGAGGATGAATGAAAATTGAGTACATAATTGATTGTCACTAGCAATTGGAAGATTGTATGCAGAAAGAAACACAATTGGTGTGCACATGCAGGGTATTTAGAATTGTTTCACCAAAATGTGGTGCTGATTCACTGGAGTTAAAAATGTGGACTTTCAAGCATTTTTTAATATAAAAAATAGTTTAAACTTCCAAAACTAGTATCATCTGCAAATTTGCAGATGATACTAAGCTGGCAGGAATAGCTAACACTTTAGAAGATAGGCTCAAGATCCAGATGGCTCTTGACAGACTTGAACACTGGGCCCTATCTAACAAAATGAAATTCAATGTAGAGAAAAGTAAAGTCTTACACTTAGGTAAGAAAAACCAAAAGCACACATATAAACTGGGGAAAACCAGGCTTAATAGCAGTGACTGTGAGAGGAATCTTGGAGTCTTAATGAACAATCAGCTAAATATGAGCCAGCAGTATGCAGCGGCAGCTAAAAAAGCCAATGCAATCCTAAATTGCATTAACAGAGGGATACACTCAAGATCAGGGGAAGTACTAATACCACTCTATAAAGCCCTAGTAAGACCACACCAAGAGTACTGCATCCAGTTTTGGTCACCACACTATAAAAAAAGATGTTGAGACTCTAGAAAAAGTGCAGAAGGGGAAGTACTAATACCACTCTATAAAGCCCTAGTAAGACCACACCAAGAGTACTGCATCCAGTTTTGGTTCACCACACTATAAAAAAAGATGTTGAGACTCTAGAAAAAGTGCAGAGGAGAGCAACCAGGATGATTAGGGGACTGGAGACTAAAACATGAAGAATGGTTACATGAACTTGGCATGGCTAGTCTAGTGAAGAGAAGACCAGGGGAGACATGATAGCAGTATTCCAATATTTGAGGGGCTGCCACAGAGAGGAGGGGGTCAAGCTGTTTTCCAAAGCACCTGAAGGCCAGACAAGGAATAATGGATGGAAACTGACCAAGGAGAGATTCAATCTAGAAATGAGGAGGAACTTTCTGACAGTGAGAACAATCAACCAATGGAACAGCTTGCATTTAGAAATTGTGGGAACTTCATCACTTGAGACTTTCAAGAAAAGATTGTCAGAAATAATATAGGGTCTCCTGCTTGAGGGGGGGGTGTTGGACTAGATAACCTATAAGGTCTCTTCCAACTCTGTTAATCTGTTAACCATCCATACATGTTGCATTTCAACTGCCATCATTCCCAACTAATATTATGTGTGTACATGCTGGGTGGAAATGATAGGAAGTGAAATCAACCACATCTGGAGAGAGACCCATTGGAAAACACGTTTTATAATACTGTAGATAAATGCAGATGACTTCCTTTGGCTAACTGATATTGGGGTTGGAAATAAATTTGCTTACACAACTTTTTAAAAATAGATTTTGGCAATTTTTTAAAGGAATATAACCCATAAGCAAACTTTCTTTTCTCAGTTTCTCCCCCACACTGGAGAAAGCTTTTTAATCTCCATGACTCATTGGGGTGAGGCCTACAATGTGTGTTTCAGTCCATTCAGTCTGCATTAGAGAAATCTTAATTTCATTGGTTTCTTTGAAAAAGTAGCATCTGTTTTTAAGAAGCCAATTCAAGATAAATACCATGCAAATTTCAAGTTACAGTCTCTTTCAAAATAGTGAAATCTTCAAGGGAAAAACAATTCAAGAAGTTTAGGAAGTTCTTTAAAAATGTGATAATTAATGCCCAAACTCAAACAATACAAAAGAGAAAAAAAATGGGAGTCACCTGTTGAAACTGGCATAGTTGCATAAAAAAGGTCTCTGATTAACTGAGAAACAAAAAGGACAAATGAAAAGGCATATAGCAAAAGCAGAATATCAGGAAACAGCCTGAATCTATAAGGAAGACTAAGGTTTAGAATGAACTGAGGCTTGTTATGAACAACAAAAGTAACCCAAAATAATCATTCTTTAGATGTGTGTGGAACATGAAGAAAGTCAAAAAATGGGTCCGGTAGTCTGGCTGGTATTGGCTAGGTAGTGATTTGCAGCATGAGGAAGGCTGAACTATTTAACTCCTAGTTTGCAACTGTCTTTTCACAAAAGGAAAAAAGGTCAATTGGTCAAAAGCCACAGAAGAGAAATGCAAATCAAAATATGTAAGGAAAGAATATCTAGTTATTTGGGGTGAATTCAAGTCTCTGGAACCACATTGGTGGTGAATAAGTAGATATTATTTCAGAACCACTGACTATAATCTTTGAACCCTGAAATACAGGGGAAGTTCCAGAAACATTTGTTAATCTTATTAAAAGGGAGAAGATGGGAAACTAGATTTAACAGCTAGATGAGGAGACAGAAGGGATGCTTATCGAATTTCAAATAATATAAAGATGGGAGAATAGCTGACACCTCAAAAGACAGACTCAGAAGTCCAATGAATCTTGATATACTTGAATATTGGGTCCTATCCACACTATATATTCAGTGGTGAGATATGTAAGAATCTGAAAAAAACAATTTTACGACATAGATCAGTGGTTCTCAACCTTCCTAATGCCGCGACCCTTTAATACAGTTCCTCATGTTGTGGTGACCCCCAACCATAAAATTATTCCTAAAACCATTGAAAATGTGTTTTCCGATGGTCTTAGGCGACCCCTGTGAAAGGGTCGTTCGACCCCCAAAGGGGTCGCAACCCACAGGTTGAGAACCACTGACATAGATGGTACCTGGCTCAGCAATAGTACTTACAAGGAGTACAATAGTACTTACTTCTGGGTAGCTGCGTATGCCATAAATTAAGCATGGACCAGCAGTAAATTGCATCTGCCAAAGGAGCCACAGGAATCTTGTGCTGCATTAACAGAAGTAAAGATCATGAGAAATAATAGTTCCACTCTATGTTACCTTGTCATATCACACTGGGTATTCTGTAACGTATATCTTCAATATAATAGAAGAAGGATAGATAATGAATAACTTGAAATAATTCAAAGAAAAGTGTGGTGCTCAAAGACTAAATCCAATGAAGAACAGTTAAAGGAACGGGAAATGTTTCACATAAAGAAAAGACGCCTAAAGGGAGATATGATAGCAGCCTTCCAATATTTGAAAAGGTGTCACATGGTGTTGATTTATTATATAGTATTTGTTTATTCTCCATAGCACCTAAGGGTAGGACAAGAACCAATAGGGAAGATTTACTGAGGCAGGGATCCTTCTTTCTTTTCCATTCCTATGATTTGATAAGTCTTATGGTGGGGGAAGTTAAGTAAGGTTGCCTAAATAGCCCCTACCAATTCAATAATTCTGTACTGCTGAGAATACTGTATTTTTGTCACAAATGCTTGAAACTGCTAATCCAGGCTATGCTTTAGATGTGATAAAAATGGCTTAAAAGGTCAATCATAGCATATCTCTGTAGTGTTCATATGAAGTCCAGGCTGATTCCTATTGCAACAGCTTTTCAAATATATGTTTGACATATGGAGTGCAATCTTAAAGAAGCATTATTTTTTAGCAGCTTCTCCGGTGAAATTGTAACTGAATTCAATCTTCTCAACTTTTGTTTCTTTGTTTGGTTTGGTTTGGGTTTTTTACTTGAAAACTGGGAAGTTGACTCAAAGCAATTGTTTTCCGTCTCTTTCTTATGGCAGGTGATATCAGATGGAGTAGGTTGAAACAATCACTCTCAACCGCAAAATAAATAAAAGACATACAAAGACATTTTATATTGTGGAAAGATTGGTAGCTCTTTAATTTT